GGTCTCTGGCTGTACTGATTCCAGCAACATCCTAGTTAATGAACACAGTATAGGACTTAAACATTACAGCAAAATATTTTCTCACTGACTGCTCTCAACATTGGAATACACATGAATACAAACAAGTAATAATAGCAAAAAAGGGAATAGAATATATAGCAAAAAGTATAAATAGTAGCAGCAGTAAATCCTTTTTGATATACAATTATTTGTGAATTAAAGTATGCTGAAGTGTTGCTAGTATGTGCGTGTGATTCTCTCTCCCTCTCTTTGTGTGTGTGTGTGTGTGTGTGACACAGGCACAGGTTCCTCCTATCCTAAGAGTTAATTAATAGTTAATTAGAGCCACATTATTAAGAAACTGGCAGCATCTGTATCAGGGTGTGTCTCTCTCATTGTGTCTTCCTACCTCCATGACACTTGACTCTGCAGTCCACCCTACCTAAGGATTAATTGCATACTGTAAACTTATGTACTGTATGCGTGCTCAATGTTTTTTTTTTAAATATATGACTATCTACATATTCAGTGTAAAGTTCACTACAAATGTCTATAGTACTATGGCTATTGCTATAGGTTTTTGATGTGTTAGACTATATTGCAAGTAGCCTACATCAGTTTTTACCCTAAATCCCACTTTATCTGCTGATAGTTCAGTCATTCAATTCAGTAACAGGCTCCTTAACACTTAAGTTGACCAATTATCACGAAGCAATGACATTTTAAAATATACTGGGGTTATACGCTAAGCTTACAACTGTTTAATACAATGTAGGCTACTGTCAAAAAAACCCCCAAAAAACACAGGAGCTAACTGGCAGAAGTAGTGTGAAAATGACTTGTGCTAGCTGTATTTTCTGTTTTCTTCTTACCTCTGCGGCACTAACTGTTCTCCGCTGCAGCAGCCGAATTTAAACCTTTTGAAAAGAGTTCGGTTAATTTTACGCATTTTGCAGCGTCGGACTTAAGCCCTTTTTTTTTCCTTTTTCAAAATTTTTCTGCACCGCCTTTCCCTTTTTACGGTCCATTATCTAGCTTTTACTGAAAATTAGCTCGTGTTGCAATCTCTCTGATGACGTGCTTGATTTTGACTGAACGGTTCAGTCGGCCCATCTCGGGACCAGGCGGCCGGCCGTTGCCGACTGGGCCAAATGCTTAAAATGTATTTATTATTAACATTTGTATTATTATAACAATAGAGAAATAGTGCAAGCGATAAAAACCTGTCCTATGTGCTGTTGGCCCGTAAAAACAATTTTATTTATATATATTTAGAAAAAATCTGACCGGCCCACAATAAACAAAATGGCAATGGCCAAAATTGCCAGATGGCCAATCCGCCCCTGGACGTAAACACTGATTTTACCCTGTCACCACTATTCAAAGGTTTGGGGTTGGTAAGATTTTATTAATGCTTCAGAAAAAGCAATTACTTGGTCAAAATACAGTAAAAACTGAAATATTATTAGAAGTTAAAATAACTGTTTATTTTATTTTAATACATTTTAAAATGTAATTTATTCCTGTGATGACAAAGCTGAATTTTCAGCAGCATTCAGTCTCACATGATACTTTAGAAATCATTCTAATATACTGATTTGGTGTTAAAAACATTACTTATTATCGATGTTGAAAATAGTTGTGCTGCTTATTACTTTTTGGAAATCATGATTTTTTTTTTTTAGGATTCTTTGATGAACAAAAAGTTGAAATGATCAGCATTTGCTTGAAATATAAATCTTTTGCAACATTATAAATGTCTTTACTGTCATTTAAGGTATCCTTACTCAAAAAAAATAAGAATTAAACGGGTCATATGATGCTGCTAAAAAGAACATTATTTTGTCGCCTGTGTCCGGGAGCTGCTGCATCACGACTGGGCTGCCCGGACTTCAGTCAAACAGTCCTAGACTGAATGCAACATTGCAAAAATACCTTAAATCAGCCGCACACTACATGAGATCAGGGCTAGCAAAAACGACACTTAAAACTTACGACTCGGCGTGGTCGTCTTTTTCAGATTTCTGCAATGCTTTCTCGGTGTCTAAACTCCCAGCTAACATACCTATTATATGTGCTTTCATTACGCACTACTTCGAATCCAGAAATCTTAAGCCTTCCACCATCAAGATTATGATCTCAGGCATTCAATTCCACATTAGATGTTTAGATCCTTCCTCTCAAAGCCTGTTACAAAATCCCTCCATAGGCCTTCTCCTTAACGGGTTAAAAAAGGAAAGCCCAGCATTTCCAGATAAACGACTACCGCTGTCTCTCTCACAGGTGCACACGATGGTGGATAAATTAAGATCAGGTCTTTTCACTTCGCACACAAACTTGCTTCTAGAAGCAGCGTTCCTCACCGCCTATTATGGATTCCTCAGAGGAGGAGAATTCACAATTAACACCAAAATATTCGACCCTTCACACAACCTCACAATCAAAGACATATCATTTCACACAGATTACTTTTCCATCTATCTGAAACATTCCAAAACAGACAGAGATAATAACGGTAGTACTATCAACATTTCTAGAACCAACAACGGATACTAGTAACCGTAAGTCCAATCCTACAGATCCACTTTTCATCACAGAGAAAGGAGAAGCTATGTCCAAGCATTGGTTCGCCTCACGTCTCCGAACTGCATGCCTCCATTGCGGCATGGACCCCACGCTTTATGCCAGCCATTCATTCCGCATAGGCACGGCAACCACCGCAGCTTCAACAGTCTCCATACCCATGCTCAAAGCAATGGGTCAGTGGTCATCATCAGCGTATCAACGATACATTAGGCCTTCAACTCAGGACGTAATACTAGCGCAAATAGCCTTGAGCAGCTCTTCCATATAAAAAAAATCCTCCGCATCTCGTAGTATCATGATACCATAAGGGGCACGCTGCTCTCCTACCCCTCATGCCAATCTCAGGGACATGCTGTTTTGTTCTTGTGGTTCTCCCGCTGGAGAGAACACCACTGCTGTTTATTCGAGCAGCTGTCAAATCGCTCCAATCACTACCATTCTCCTATTAGACACGGGACATATATACATGACATTACTGCTCGGTAAGTATGCTCAAACTACTCGCAACCCTCCCTCCCTCCCCATTTTAAGCATAAGCATATTACTGTGCACCTTCTAGTTGTCGTCTTCTTTTGTTTCAGATCGCTTCCAAGTCCCGGCTGCCATGGACCTCACTGCTGAGAGACACTCATCCTCATAACCAAGCTACAGTATAGACGTTCCACTGCACATATACACGATTACCACCGTTCGCTTTTAAAGACTTTACTAAGGTCTTAATTGTTATGTATTTCCAAGCTGATGGTTCCGGGGGGTTAATGTTAAAGCTCTTGTATGGTCAATTTATTCTGGAGCAAAGAACCCCCATAGGAACCATACCGCCAAAGATAAATTGTGTTTCAATAAACTCAAGTAACTTGCCAAAGTGGTCCTGTCTGAACTGATTATAATGACTTATACTGTCTTTTTACGCATTACAGATCTTCTTTATGCACCAAGAGCTTGTAACATTCCAAAGAGAAAGGAAAAATTGAAATCGCATCATATGACCCCTTTAAAACAAAAAGTAATTAATATTTTGAACAGTAGTGTACATATATTACAGTCATGGCCAAAAGTTTTGGCAGTGACATAAATATTGTGTTTCGCAAAGTTTGCTGCTTAAGCTGTTGTGGTTTTCATTCACATTGTTTATAGATTATTGTGTAGAGTGATCAGATGCATTTAAGAAAATTGCTAAAAGCTTCATTGGCCAAAAAATGAACTTTTCACAAAAAACAAAAACTAAAATTTCACTGTTTTTTGATGCTGACACAAAATGACCAGCTAACATTAATTGACATTGCTATAAAAGGAGGGAAGAAGCACTTCCAATCATTGTGTTCTTGTTAGCAATGGTTACCTCCAAAGAAGCACATACAGCAATCATCGCTTTGTATCAAAATGGCCTCACATGCAAAGAAATTGCTACAAAGAATATTGCACCTAAAAGAACCATTTACTGGATCATCAAGAACTTTAAGGAGAGAGGTTTGACTGCAGTGAAGAAATCTTCATGACGTCCCAGAGTGTCCAGCAAGAGCCAGGACCGTCTCCTCCTGATGAGTCAGCCAGCAGAAGACTGGTGTAAAGTTATTTTCTCTGATGAAGCTCCCTTTCGACTGTTTGGGACACCTGGAAAATCGATTGTTAGGAGAAGAAAAGGTGAACGCTACCATGAGTCCTGTGCCCCATAGAGAACCTGTGGTCAGTCCTCAAAAGGCGAGTGGACAAGCAGAAGCCCACAGAAGCCCACAACTCCGAGAACTAATAAGGCAAGAATGGATCGCCATCAGTCATGCCAGAGCGAATTGCTGAGGTTATGAAAAACAAGGGTCATCACTGTAAATATTGACTCATTATATATTTTTTACCAATAAAAGCCTTTAAAACTTCTGATATGCTTATCATTGTCTTTCTGTTACTCACACCCTGATGAAGGCAAAATAGCCGCAACGCGTAGGTGTGCACTTGTCACCTGTTTTTAAAACTTATAGCCATGATGAAATAAAGGCTTTTTAAAACTTTTTGATTAAGATTCGAGTGCCTTGGACTACAATTATTCTTACGATTCATAACTCTTTGTCTAGTGTGCAGTGTGGCTTACCTGAATGTCCTGACTAAATTGTTTATGTCATTGATGACAACTCTCATTTTTAGATGCAGAGGTCCCACAACATCTCTCAAGCTTTGAAAAGACACAAAGAGGGGTCACACTTTTATATTAGATGTCTTTAACTGATATGTACTTGCATAAAAAACAAAACAAAAAAACAAATCAAATACTTAACACTTTTGCTGCTACTGAGGTGGGTTATGGTTAAGGTTAGGAACAGGTTTGTTTGTACGGTTAGGTTTAGCTTAGGTTTAAGGGTGGGTCAAGGTGTAGGGGTGGGATCAACAGTGTAATTACAGAAGTAACTACAGAAATTAAATACACATGTAAGTACAGGAACATATTTTAAATATAGGTACAATGTAAGAACATGTGTGTACACAATAAGGGTATTGTATCAAATTATTAATTTACATGTAACTACATAGTAGTTAAAGATACTTAATATATAGTGGGTCCCAAGGAGGTTATGTTAAATAATGATTTGCAAGAAGACTGAGTGCTGGGTATTGTTTGATTTTCTTTCCAGCATATCTTAGAACAGTAATGTAGGGCACCCTTTTTACAGAATTCAAGCAGGTCAAATGCCCAACATAACATTATTATAGTGCAACAAAACAATGCTAATGGTGTCCAAAATGACAAACACTGATCCAACTACTGCTGAAAACTGACTTCCGGCTGAGCTTCTCCACAGCAATGCGTTTCTGAATCAGATGTTGCGCATGAGAATCAACCAACGGCAGAGGAGGGTCCTTCCCACTGTCCTGCAGGATTATGAAAAAAAAGCATCGATCAAGAATGTAACATGCAGAAATCAATGAGAGATGAGGCCAGTTTTCATGAGGAAGCCCAGTCTAACTTCCTTGAATTGAGCACCCACAACAGGACAGTCCAAGTAACTGCAGGTTTAGACTTCAGGATGCACATACTGTGGCCTGAAAATGTATCTGTATGTTTAAGCTACACTTTCAAAAAAACAAAACAAAAAAATCCAACATACTAATGTCATTGCTTTAGATATAAAATATGAAATCAATTTTCACATTGTAAAAGAACATGGCCACAAAAAAAATAATAAAACATTTGCTAGGTTATAAAATAAATAAAACAACATATACTGTTCAAAACAAACAAAACATTTGTCAACTTCAATGTTTCAACTTCAACTTTCAAATTCAACTTCATAGCAGGATTATTACAGTTAACTAAAACCATTAAAATTGAAATAAAGTAAATGTTAACTGAAATAAAATTTAATTTAAAATATTAATAAAAATTATAACAGTATATAAATAATACTAAATCAAAAATTCACACATCTACTAAAAACCAATGTAAAACCATTTGGTAAAAATCACTGCAAACAATGTCTCAAGTTAGTTTAAAAAAAAAAAGCTGTTTTATTAGACATTTTATTATCAATGCAAGTGTAGCTTAATGAGGACTATCAAATGCACGCAGGTGGCTTGTCAATACACTGTTTGGAGAGAAAGGCATGACAAGTTAATGAGTGTATCATGCACATAGAACAAGTGGTGTGTTTTAAGTTGATAAGAGGAAGAGACACACAAATGTCCACATGTATTACACGCAGTGTAATGTTTAGATGTGAAGTTTAGACAAACATTATTATACATCCATGATTCAATTGTGCAATTCATATATATATATTTTTAAAGGCGGGTAAAACGGAAGGTTTAGATTTTTTTTTCAAACAATACAAAAACATTTCTTTGTCATTGAAACAAAGAAACTGATACATGAACAAATGAACAAATTATAAATACAAATAAAAAAGACATAAATTGTCATTAAAACAATTCTTCAAAAATGTTTTTTTTGTACAAAATATCTTAAGCATGTATTTTTGTACAAAATGTTGTTAGACATAATAAAATATAAAATAATATAGCAATAAACAAATCTTCAAGCAGACTTTCAATTTTGTTTTGCACAAAATATATGATTTAAAATATATATGATTTAAAAATCAACAAATTGCAAGCAAATTATATTATATTATATTATATTATATTATATTATATTATATTATATTATATTATATTATATTATATTATATTATATTGGGTTAAACAAATCAATTTTGCTTGGTTGGAACAGCAGCTACGCTAATTATGTCTCTATTTGCTTCTCTGTTTTTGCCACGGGATTGACATCCCGTGGTAACTAGGATTTCAGTCTTCAGACTTCAACAAGCTTCAGTCTGGATGCAGAACACCCTAGAAGAGATGATGCCAACCCCTCAGAGGACCTCAGATGATGCCAACCCTGAAACAACTTACAGAACTACCA